CCCCCCCCCCCCCCCCCCCACGCGTCAGCGTGGCGCCCGCGGAATTTTATCGAGTCTCGAAACTGCCAGGTAATTTTCCTTTGTCGCCGCTAACGATTCGTTTCATCGATTAACCTCTATCGATCATCGTAGTTGACCGTGTTCCGTGATGTAACGATACGCGACAATTGCCGGGTTACTCCGCGAGGCGGAGAAGAACCGGACTTATGGAGGGCGAGAAAGGAGCGGTCCACGGACAGTTATGGTCGTTTCTCTGATCGATCATCTGGATATCGACGTTTCAGGGCCGAAATCGCGTTTTTCTAAACTCGCACGGAATTATGCAACGGTGCATCGAAAACGCGACGGCGCACACGGCTCGCAACAGATAATCGAACGTGGAAAGATAGCGTATTGATACTGTTTAACTTTTTTAGTACCTCATTATACGCGGAAGTGGTTTTAAAGATGTTAATGATCTTTTTCTACTGTATTTGAAAAAAGCTGCATATTTTTCTGCGCATATCCAGCGATTATTTCTTGCAAAGAATTGAAACTCTCGCGGGTGGTCCCACAGTCGGCGCAAATATTTTCGCGGATTGGCGTAAAAGAATTGCGGTTCGGCAATTTCGAAGATTCGGTATCGTTTGTGCAAGTACTGCAAATAATATTTCGCTTACGTTTATATGCTGTTGCACTGTATACCTCTTTTATCGCGCGGCTATTTTTAAGAATACATTTACGTCGATGATAGTTTCCAATGTCTTTCGGCATAATACATGTATCCATACGTAAGCATGCATTGAAATTACCAAATAGTAGCAGTACGTTATGTGAAAGTAATATCTAAACTGCGGATCTTTATGCAAAATAAAAGTTACCTTCGTATTCGATTGCATCGTAGATGAGGCAAATAAAAATGTCTTTTTTTATTCAATAATTTCAGCGAGCTAGAAATAATAGATGCCCATAAATTCTTCCAATATTTTCATCGTTTGAAATTTCACCTTTTTATTATAAACGCATCGAATCCGCAGTCTAGTAACATCGTTGATGCGGCGAAAGAATTGTCACTCGTACGAGGCAAAAAAAGTTGGGAATGTTGTGAGAATCTGTTGTACAATCTCGATTGTAAATTCCGGACCGCCAGGGATGAGCCGAACGCGTGGGTTTCCGCAGATAAGGGGATTTTAGTGCTCAATTAATCGGCAGTTACGTGGCACCGGGGTCAAGTTCAGAAACGCGTTAATTGTCTCTCGCGATAACTCCAGAAATCTCGTCCCACGTGAGCCCGTTATCAAAAGAAGATGACGCATCCTTGGGTCTATCTGTGTATACCCGGGGTACATATTCTCCGTGAACCGTGTAGGAACTCGATTTTTCAATTGACCGTTCCTTTTTTTCTGGCCCGGGAGCAAAGTTGATACCGGGTCGCGCGGCGGCTGATTATTCAAACGCGCAGAACCACGATCACAGGCCGCGGTGTGAAAAAGAAAAACATTATTTTCCGTCCGATGTTTTCAAGGAGCTGTGTAAACATTGCGCGTTAGAAGATCGACCTCTGCGTCAGAGGTGTCACCTGGAAAGGTGTTTTGCGCGTCGATACGGAACGCGTCTCGGACGTCGGATCGGCGACGTAGAAAAAAAAAATCGGATCGTTATCCGATTCGAGTCGAGGATCCTCGAAAGAATTTCACCCCGGACCGGGTGCGAGATTGTTTATCGTTTCACGGACGAAGAAGCAACGTGCCGCTCGGCGACACGCGTTGTAACACGCGTAATACAACGCTCGTCTTACCTGGAATCGATGAAGCGATACGAATTTCTTCGAATGGAATCGGTTCTAGATTCGTTAAACGAAATTCCTAGACATCGATTCATCGTGCCATCGATTCTAAAGTCATTTCCGGGCTTATCGGTGTAATGGGAAACTTGTAAGATCAACGGTCTGTGAGTCAATTTCGACTCTCGAGGATGAAAGCTCGAGAGCTCGGCTTAAAAGATGATGCTTTCGATTTTTTTCAGTTATGGAACTACGTAATAGTTATCGTCTAATCTTTTGAGGCGATTTATCTCGCGATAAAGGGATATACGTGTGAATTGTATCAGGTTGGAAACTATGAAACCGACGTTGGATGATGTAAATCGCGCGTTTTGTTTCCATCTCGTTTCGGAGAGAAATAAAATAAAAATGGGATACAAAGACGAACAAAATTGTACGAAACGAGTAAGAAGAATACCTTTAAAATTTATAAATAAAAATATCGAGCGCATGTTACAATGAACACAGTCGCAGGCTGAACACAGACTAAACAAAAACGTCCCTTTCATATAGTTTCCAACTTAACCCTTTCCTACTTTAACCCTTTGCACACGAGTGACCCCGGGGCACCGTTGAAAATGTTGTATCACGTTCCAAGATAATTTTAATATCGTCAGAGTTTAAATGAAAAATATTATTAATAGTGTAATCGTTGTACGAATCGCAAGGCTCAATTTCATATCCATAAAATGCGCTTTGTCGCATAAAATGGAATTACTATTAAGTCAGAAAAAGTGTTTCGGATTTACGATTAAAATGCTCTCGAGTGCAAAGGGTTAGCTGTAAATATAAAATCATTTTTCTAACTTATAGTATTTTTATTTTGTATAACAAAATGCATTTTACGCATATGAAATTGACTCCTGGAACCCACGCAACAGTTACACTATTCGCAATCTTTTAAATCTAAACTTTGTTAATATAAACGTTATCTTAAAACGTGACGTAACGAATTTTCGTGGTGCCTCAAAGTCACCGCTCGAGTGCAAATGGTTAACTGTAAATATAAAATCATTTTTCTAACTTATAGTATTTTTATTTTATACAACAAAATGCATTTTACGCATATGAAATTGACCCTTGAGACCCATGCAACAGTTACACTATTCGCAAGCTTTTAAATCTAAACTTTGTTAATATAAACATTATCTTAAAACGTGACGTAACGAATTTTAGTGGTGCCTCAGAGTCACCGCTCGAATGCAAAGGGTTAATATTATCGAGAAATACGTAGCAATAACACGAATGCATATTGTCCAGAGAGCAGCGACGAGAGTCGAGGTCTGAATGCATCTAGGCGGTTGTACCGAGGTCCTGAAAAACTTCCGACGTCGGAGGGTTAAACGACCAAAGTTTCCACTCGGCTGGTACGCGCCGCGTTAAAAGGATCAATCTGCAACGATACAGGCGGCAAGAGAAGAATAGCAGAGAGCGACAAAAATGAAATCGCGGATGACGCAAAAGAAACCGGTTATTCTATAGCATCTTTTTCTATCTCGTTCGTCTATCCACCGGCGACGCGTGTCGCTCTAAGTTGAAAATAGTTGGCCGTCCGAGATACGTCGATTTTACGAGAGGAATTATAAATACAGGACCGTGGTGGTGTCGCTTATTTCTTTCGCACCCGCGAAAGAAAGGCCGGGACATACTTCTGGGAACATTTTAAAAGAACAATACTGGACACTACGATCTGAAACTTCGTACAGTCGTTAACTGACATTCAACTGAGAGTATTCTAAAATTGTTGCAAGCAACAGTAACGATCCTCTTCGAAGTTACAGCGGTGAGAACACACATTCGGAAACAAAGTATACTGCCGGTCATTCTTCGTAACAATTTTTTAATTTGGCTGCGCGAGTATCGCATGAAGTAGAATTAAACAAACGTAATAGTAATAGTAATTACGATGATTCTACTATTCCAGGGGCTGCGAAGGATAACGTACATATGTTCCTGGAGGGGTCCTGCGACAGGAGGGCACCATGTGCACGCGTGATGTAACAGTAAGTCCGACGCAGGATATGCCAACGCCGATTTATATCTGTCTCCGTTCTATCTACCGACGTGGCGTAACATTTCAACGTTTTGTCTGTAGACGGTGTCGAACTTCAAGAAGCTGCGAAGATAAAAAGAGCGATGGGGACAGCCGATACCGAATCTTTCGATCGGATCAACGGCCGATATCGAACGGAACGAGAAAGCGAGGGGGATCTACCAGCGGACGATTCTCGCGCCCGTAGGACGATCGTGATCGAACGAGGTCGAACGACTGGAACCTTCCGCGGGAAGCTCAAAAGGCGCCGAGAGCGCATCGCCTTCGCCGCCGCGGTGCGACGGAGAACAACGCCAAGAAAGAAAGAAAGGAAGGAAGAAAGAGAAAGACAAGACAGGATCGGAGAGTCATGGCGCTTCCATTCTCCGCGCGGCACGTTTTTTCCGCTGGCCGCCGCGGGCATCTCTTGCGATCCAGATCGCGTAACCGCGTCTCGACGAGATCATCACGTAGGTGGAGCAGGACCATGCGATACGGACGGGTACAGGAATATACGTGGAGCTCGTGTAAATTGTTTCGCGCGTTGTTCTCTATCCTGTCCTTTCGATAGATTCGCGTGAGAAGCGGCAAAATGACGCGTGGCGACCCGACGGGACCCATCGCGGCACGGTGTGTCGAGTCCGAGCACCGGGTGGGGGCCAGGAGAGGCAGATGAGAAGAGGGGTGGCATGCAGCTGTAGGGTTCGTGGGCGAGGGAGTCAAGGGGCAGAGGAGGTGCCCGTGCCCCCACCAGATAGCGCGCGCCCCAGCGGCGGAGGCGGCGCTTACAGCCGCACAAGCCTCTATATAAATGCGACAAACCCCCCGATCTGATTAGCAAAGTTCCAAAACATACGTAAAAGCGCATTTCATTCATATTTCGGACAACCTGTGCGAAGCCCGAACACACGAAACCGACGTCACCGAGTGCATGTACACAAACAAAACGATCACGATCAGCACACACATATCCATCGTCTCTGTAAACTGTTGAACGAACGCTACATAGACGGATATAGGCGACGGTTGCTAGTTAGTGCCGAGGATTTGCAGCGGGTAACAACAAAAACGAAGAACAAGAACAACAAGTAGAATAAGAAGAAGAAGAAGAAGAAGAAGAAGCAGGCGAAGAAGAGGAGAGACACATTTAAATATAGCTACTAAAACGCAATCTAGTCGTCGTGGAAACGAGTCGGATCTCGGCCGGGGACGGTTCGAAACGACGATCCACGCGGTGGACGGCGGCAGAGACATACGCTGCCGAGACACGCTGTCGCGATACACGTTGCAGGTGCGACCGGAGCACGAAAACGGCGGTTCTCGGCGAGGGCACGAGAAGAAGCCGAGGAAGAGGCCAGCAGGCCACCGACGAGCCGCGAGTGAGATGAGACGCGTCGAGCCGAGCCGCGGCTAGGACAGAACGAGAGGAGAGAGAGAGGAGGAAGCAAGGGAAGGCTGGCCGGCACGGCGCATTAGGGCGCGACACGATAAAGGGTAGCGGTGGTGAACGGTGGTACCGCTCTCAGGGACCGCTGCATAGGAAGCACGCTGGATCGTGCACGCGGCGCGGCCGCATCGCTCGTACTTTAAGACGAGAAGAACAAGTCTCCTCTGCGCAACCTCGCACCGCGAATCCAGAAAACACCGCGCGAGAAGCTTTTCCGTGAAGTCAGAAGACAGAGCAGAGCGTACGAGGATAAGGAGCCGAGAGGAGCTCGGTCCTGGAAGACCCAGTTTCATTCGAGAAAGAAAGAAGACCAGACTAACCGACAGGATGTCCGGGTCTCAGAGAAGACAGATGATGAAGAAATGGCCTCTGTGCCTAGTGCCCCCTTCGAGAGCGAAGGTAAGACAATTACACACTGTTCTACTATCTCTCACGTAACATATAACCACGTATTCGACCGCTTGCAACCGACCCACCGACCAAACCGTTCTCCGCCGCCGCGTTTTCGCTTCCCGTGCCACCTAGTTCTCTGTCTCTCTTTCTCTCTCTTCTCCTTCTTCTTCTCTCTCTCTCTTTCTCACTATCTGTGCATCCGTCTCTCTCTTTCCCTTTTGTTCACCGACCGACTCTGTCTCGCTTTCACCGGCGTCTCTTTCCACGGTTCCGCGCTCTCGCCGGCTCGTTCCTTCTTCCCCTCCCGAGCTTCTGGAAAGTTCCATCGGTCGTCGCGTGGTCGGCATCGATTCCGATATCGAGAACGACGCCGATGCCGGTGCGAAACAACGCTTCTCTGTTTTTCCTTTTTTTCTTCTTTCGTTTTCTCTCCGCACATCTCCGGCTATGTTCCCCGTCTAGCTTTTTCGGCTTTTTCGGGTCGTTCGTTTCGTCCTCGCGGGCATCGGTGTGTGCCAATGGCGTCGCCGTTAACCCGCGGTGTTTGCACAGCTTTTGCCGCCATCGCCGTCGTCCCGCTTCCTACGTGCGTACCCGCACACGGCCGTGCCTGACCGCGCGTTGCGTCCCGTGCACGCACTCACGCTCTCACGAAACACCCGAAATTGCACCATCCCGTGAGATACCGACACACCGGCGCGCCGCCGGCTAGGCTCGTCGAACCGCGCGCGCGTCCCCGTCGGCGAAGAAGAACAGCCGCGGGAAATCACTGGGGTCTCTCGATCGCTTTGATCTCTTCGCGCCTTGTCCCAGTTCCTGTTTTACGGTGCCGCCTGTTTCCCACTTCCGGCACGGTCTCTCACGGATGATTCCTCGTGGCGGCCGCATCACACTTCTTCTCCCGTGCCACAGTCGCCGATGCACCTCCGCGCGCATACGCACACACACATACACACGAGCACGCACACACACACACAGACATACACACGCCGAAGCAAGCCTGGGCAATATCGATCGCATGATACACACAATTAAGGCGCCAATACGCTGACAAACGTGCGACATTTTTTGCAAGAAACGCGTACATTTGTTTGCGAATTACGTATCGTTCGCGTATTGTTCGGCTCGTTAGAAGCAATTGCCGCGCGCGGACTTCCATTCTCTGCCGCTATCTCGCAGTCGTTTACACGTGCCGCGATAGTCGCGCTAGCAAAAAATGTCGCATGTCAGCCCTGTAGTGCATTCGCGCCTTTACCCGCGCCGACCCGGAACGATATACGCGGACGCTAGCGCCGGTCCGCGAAACTTCGTTCCGACCCGTTATCGAACACCGAATTCTCACGGTTATATTTTTAATTCTTAATTCTACGGTAATTTAATCTTTTTTGTCATTCTCACGGTGTAATTTTTTCTTTCTTTTTTTTTTACTCGTTTCTTCCCTATTATTGTTACCAATCTCCAACCTCGCCGACCGTTAAACGGCTCGTTGTCCGTCGTCCAGAGTCGGTCCCTGTAATGGGAATCGGTTGAGCGCGGTGCCGAGTCGCAGAAGGACACGTGACCCAGCGAACAATCGTTTTCGATCGTTCCTCTCGCTGGATCGTCGTGTGTTTCCGTAGCAACCGGCCGCCCCTCCCCCCCACCACCTCTCTGGCCGCCGGGATGCGAGTCACCGAAACGCGAGGTTACGAACAGCCAAAAGAACGTGGGGAGCTCTTTTACATGTAATTTCGAAGTTTGGATTGTCTTTTAGGACTTGTCGTTGTCACCAGAATTGTCGGCCATCGTGTACCGAGCCGAAAGGTCGCCATAAGCTTTGTAATGCAAGAAACCAAGAGAATATACGTTGAATAAATGATGTTTATGCGTTACATTGATATAGTTTCTAAGTATTTTCGGACCTGCTTCCACACCATTCGCTTCACTATAACCAACGTGAAGTCGTCGACAACCGCGACGTCGTGTCTCCCCCGCAACTTCCGACGAACGTCGCGTAATAACGTCGCATTGCAATTTCGAATGTTTCCTTATAAGAAGAAGAGAAAGAGAAAGAGAGAGCGAGCGAGCGTGCGAGAGAAAGGGAGAGGGAGGGAGAGAGAGAATGCCACGCGTTCCGACGAAAATGATATACACGTGTTTGTTCGCGTATTCCGTGGATTCGCGTACGTACTTTGCACCGGCAACTCGCCTTTACCACGTGGCTCGCGCGCATCAAGAGGGATCAAAAGCGTGCGGTGATCGCGTGAACGGACTCCGCGTCGCCGAGATGCAAAATTACGCGAAATTATGCGGCCGCGTTGATAACGACCGATGCGTCACGCGCGAGATTTTCCTAGTTCCCGCACTTATCGCGAATCATGTTTTCCCCGAGGAAAAAAAGGAATATGTATATATGCCGTTATCATTCGCGGGTTCGGTTGGGAGAGAGAGAGAGAGAGAGAGAGAGAGTGTGTCTCTCGCAAGGAGCGAGGGCTCTTCTCCCCGATAGCGGCTCGCCGCCGCGAATATACCGAGAGACGAGAGAGAAATTGGAAAGAATAGGTAAGGTGCAACGCGGTTCACGCGCGCTGATAACAGCCCGGAGAGAACTATTATCTAGCCCGCTCCCCCGCTCTCTGTAACGCTTTTCATAGCATATTATATATTTCGGCCAGCAAGATGTGGGCCCTGCAGTCGACTTATCTCTACGTTAATTGTCACGGACGCAGCGCTAAAATGATTCCTCCTCAGCCACGAGTTTCTACGCCGCTGGTACGTCACTATTGCACTAAGTCTACGGGAAATATCGCTCGGAATTAGCCGAACGCCCATATAGTTTCTCTCCCGCATCGTTCACTCGCCGATATATCATGGACGGACACGATATGTCCGGAAACGTTCCGTCGCGTCGCGAGCGAGGAGATCCGACCGCGACCAATTTTCTGTATCGCCCCGGCTGAGATCGATCGCGAACAAGTCGGCCGGCCCATCTTTTTAGAAACGGTTCGACAGGATTTCCTTCTCGCCGACGCACCGCGTCCCCCGATCTCTGTTCTTCTCTCTCATTGTTAGACGCACTTTCACTCTCGCATCTTTCTTTCGTCCCCCCCGAAACAAGGTACAATAATGTCTACCTTACCGACGCTCAGATTGTCCACTAAAATGGACAATTTGGGAAGAGGAGACACGATTATTCGTATCGTTTTTATAATTGCGGACAATTTATAACTATAAAAATAAACCGCAAGGTTTAATCGAATGATCGTATCTTCTCTTCCCAAATTGTCCAATCTTATGCACAATCTATGTGTCAATTACGGAGAATTTATTGTAGAGTAATGTCTCTCTAATTGACGCTCGGATCGTCCACTAAAATGGACAATTTGGGAAGAGGAGATACGATTATTCGAGCTTTGCGGCTAATTTGTATAATTGTGGACAATTTATAACTATAAAAATAAACCGCAAGGTTTAATCGAATAATCGTATCTCCTCTTCCCAAATTGTCTATTTTTGTGGTCGATCTGGGCGTCAATTGGAGAGACATTACTGTACGTATCGCGATCGCGCCCGGTCACCGCTGCTCGATGTGCCTCTTCCGATCGTTTCTTTCTTTCCACCGTCTTCCATCTGTGTGTTCACGTTCGTCCAGCATCCGCGCACGGCTCTCTCTAGCGTTTATCGTTCGCCGCGTTCGTTCCAGCAAAGATTCGATCGGCCTTCCGCGTCTCATTGCCAATGTTATCGGGACAAGTTGTAATCCGATAGAGTCGTTCTTTTATCTCGATCGGAACGAGACCGGATCGGGGACAACGTCGCGACGCGTTCCAAAGCTTTGTGTCTTCACCCTTCCGGACGACACCCAGCTCGGCCCTAAATTCTTCGTGCGCCGGGACCTAGCCTCTTCGCTGCCGGTGATTCGGCGGAGCTTAACCCTTTGCGGACGAGTGTCGGCAAATAGCCGTCCAAGTCTTTTTACCGTTACGGACGAGTGTCGGCAAATAGTCGCCCGAGTCTTTTTACCGTTTTTTCTTTTTTTTATTAATTTATTAACACTATGCCATCCGATGGCACCACGCCGGTGCCATGCAAAAACTATGTTTTATGCCGGTGGTACCACTTTGGTGGCATTTTAAAAAACTGAAATAACATTTGAACTATATTTCTTGGGCGTTGAAAGGCAGCAAACCAACTATAGCATTGTGCTTATTTAACTAAGAATTAAGCACGAAAATTCTTGGATGACTTATCTTAATTTTAGGAATTTATATTACCGCCATCTTCGAAATTTTTGTTAAAATCTAAAATTTCCAAGCAATTATGCCGGCCGTCAAACAAAAGAATCATATCTAAGATCTGCGGACGGCATAGCGTTAATTATTAATATAAATTTATTAATTTAACCGTAGGTTCGTAGAACGAATTTCAGTTTGACGAGTCAGTCTTTCCGTGTCGCTACCAGAGAAACCAGCAGAGTTTTTCACATATTTATAATCTTACAATAATATATCTTATAACAATTTTATTTTGTATCCAATACCTGTCGTCCACAGCGACGCAATACCCGTCGAGTGGTTTCGTCCGCAAAGGGTTAGACGATGCTGCTCACGCGCGAATCCCGTGGCGACGATATCGTCGCGCCGCGAAACGAGAGATACGGAAGGACGGGGACGGTTAAACACCGGTGTTGCGCGTCGATGATTTTTGTTTCCTGCAAGCGGAACGAACCACCGCCGAATCCCCGAGCTCGTGCCCGCCTTGCAAACAAGAGTGACGCAAGCGGCGGCCGCGCTTGCGGGAAACCCAAATATCCGTGAGACGATGACGCGGCCTCATCTGCTCGCTGCCGCGTACGTCACGTGTTCACGAGGAAAGGGCGGCGCGGCGGCGGCGGCGGCGGCTCCCTTGTGCCGCGGTGCCTTTCGAAGGACGGAAATAGAATCGCCGGTCGATTCAAGCTACGCCCAGACGGAACGTTAAATATATATATCGCGTGGGCGATCTCGTATATACTGAAAATGATCACGCGCCCCGAGCCGTCTTTTAACGAGAACCACGAGACTATAGGATTCCGAAGATCGTCGCACGAGAACTCGGTCTTCGTCTCAAGGCGCTTTCCGTTGGAGCCGACACGCTTCCGTCGCGAATCCCATAAGCCGTGCTTCAAACAGTGCCTGGTGTTTCGATGGCGTTTCCATTTAGCTCGAGCAATTTAAGGGTTCCCGGAAAGCTGGCGCCGAATTCATTACGCGATCATTATCGCGACGTCGACGCCAACAGGCGGTTCGTAGCTGCGCGGCGAGGCCTGCGTGTTCGAAGGGCCGCACTCGGATCCAACGGAAGGGACGACTGCGTTTCTGCTCGAACGATAAAATCGCAGCTGCCAGCTCCGAGCGCATCTCGCTGCGAGAGCTCCACTTGTCCGACCGCGGCTGCATCCTGCTGCGGAACCTGTACCATAGATCGCGCCACTGTCGCCGACTCGTGGCGGCTTCTGTAGCCGACTTTTAAATGCTACGCGATGGAAATTGTTAGATCGAGCATCTTTAGGCAAACTCAAATTTTTGTGGCTCTTTTTGGAAACATTATAGTGGGAGGAGATTTTTTTTTTTTACCGGAAGGGGTGCTTTTTCAACGCGTTCTCTATCGAAAGTAGTTTCGCTGTTCGTGTACATTATTAATTGGTTTTTACTTGTTTCAAATACAATGTACCTGCTTCCAGAATTATTGAGATAATTTAGTAAAGGAAAGTTGTAGGCTTCTTTTGAATATTATGTGCCATGACTGAAAATATTAACTTGTACTAAATTAATTTGAACGTTTTTGATGTTATATTGTTGTGTTCCTTTCGATGTTATATTCTTAAATGGGGTAAAAATTTTGGTAGATCATTTGCTTGTGTTTTTAACAATTGATCAGATTATATGGAACTTAGAATAACGCTATTTTCATCGAATCGTTGAAAAAGTTATCTTTTAAAATTTACAATTAATATTACTATTCACGTTCTCCTGTAATGATTACGAAATTAATTTGGTGAAAATAACAAAAGATCGATCGACACAATGATCTATTTGAGCAGATGGACCTGTTCTTCAAGCTGAAGGGATTCACGACGATTTGGCGACGTAAACGCATAAAGATCTGCGATCTGACAATATTCGCAATTTTTATCATTTTCTACGAGTTCGTAATAAGAACTGTGCAGCACGACAAGAGCAAATCGAGTTTTAACCTTTTGCACTCGAAGCTATTTTAACACGAAACTCTAAAACATGTTTCCTCAGCTATAATATTACCATTTTACACGAATTGTTGCATAACATTGTACATATGAAATTGAACCTATCGGCACGGACAGTGTTTGCATTTTTAACAGTTTTTTCTACGTATGAATAATTTAATACGGTCCAAATTATTTAGAAACGTGGTACAGCAATTTTAAGGAACTGAGAACGGAAATTATCGAAACCTCGTTAGACATAAACATATGCATAACATCGTACATATGAAATTGAATCTATCGACACGGACAATGTTTGCATTTTTAACAGTTTTTTCTACATATGAATAATTTAATACGGTCCAAGTTATTTAGAAACGTGGTACAGCAATTTTAAGGAACTGAGAACGGAAATTACTGAAATCTCGTTAGACATAAACATATATGCATAACATTGTACATATGAAATTGAACCTATCGACACGGACAGTGTTTGCATTTTTAACAGTTTTTTCTACGTATGAACGAATAATTGAATACGGTCCAAGTTATTTAGAAACGTGGTACAGCAATTTTAAGGAACCGAGAACGGAAATTACCGAAATCTCGTCAGACATGTATTTTCATTTTGCGAATGAAATCTGCGCTCCCACACAGGCCGAGGACTTTTCGTAGTTTACAAAATTCGTGGGAAAGAAGAAGTGTCGTCTTATCTCGCCGCGCGTTTCTTGTTTTCTCGGCAATGCGACAGTGAATAATGGTCTACGCAGCGCCGATGCGGCGTCGATGATCGGGAACAATCGGATGTATCAAGGGAACCATTGTTATCTGTATTGTCCCGTACAAAGTAAAAACGATAGCATTAGCAAACAACCAAATAAACGAACTAACGAGATCGTCGACGCGTGTTCGCAAACTAGCGTTAGTTTTTCAGACGATCGAAGCTCTCAATGGCGGAAAGAAGACTCTGATTCTGAAATCGAGATCGAAAGTGGAAGAGGAGCAAAATTAGACTAAAATGCGATTCGTAACGAGCAGACCGCGGATCTCTGTGCAAAATAATCTGCTGCATCTGTTGCAAGAAACAGGAATCTTATGTATTTATTCGAATCTTACTTAGGAATTTTTATGCTTCTTTGACAAATATAACAAAATTATTACACCGGTATTTGTTCGATTATTACAATTTTTCGCAGTTTTCAATCACTGCCGCTTATGTATGAATGCATTATGTATTATGCATGAAGATCCGCAGTGTAATAACGAGGGCAGTTAGAAATTGAAGAAAGCATCGCGCCAATCGCATAATGTTTTCCATACGGCGGGACCCCGATAATGCGAAAGTTAATTAATTCTCCCTATTGTTTGTTCGTTCGCGTAATAGCTGCTGATATTCGCATAGGTGGATTTCTGCTCGTTCGTACGCCGATACGTGGACAGTAAATTCTTGCGCAAATGCTCAAATTGCATCAAAATCTGAGAAAGAGAAATATTCCTCTCGATGAATAGGCCAGAAGACGTTAATTTCGCGACGGCAGTTCCCAACGATGCAGCTGAATGCATTATCTCTGGTTGACAAGTTGTACTCAGCAAAGATGCGAATTCGTGCTGACATACAGAAATATTAGGTCAGGTCATAAATGACTTCTGTCTTTTTTATCAGACATTGATTTTGTTCTCTTTTCCACTTATCTTCTTCGTTTTTCTCTTATTTATCCTTTTCGCTTCCTTTTGTTATTTCATTTATTTCGAACTCTCGTCTATTTAATGAAAGCGAAAATTCGTTTGCGACTCGTATGCGTGCAGATGCGAACAATAGATTCCACCTAACCGCATCGGAAGATATTTACGACTCGACCCAGTTCTTTCATTTTGACGCGTAAGAGATTGCATTTCGATCGGCGAGAAGGACAGCTTTCGCTTTAATTTCGCGAAATGACAATTTGCGCAACGCGAGATCCGCTAATTGGCGATTGATCTCGTAACGAGATCGTTTCGATCCGAGTTGGAAAAAGCGACGTCGGCCGCGCGACTTTTCTCATTCTTGAAATCGGATCTAGGAGGGACGGGAAACGGCGACAGGGGAAGGCCGGGGGGAGCAATACGCGTCGATCGAATCGCACGCGATTATTCGAGACGCGCACCGATTATTTGCAAATCTATGCGAAATAACGCGCCACACGGTTGTCGATTAAACAAACGGCCACCGTTAGAAGGTCATTAATGTCTCAGCGTGCGGCCGACGTACGCGTGTCATCCGAGAGCGTGATCGGGCCGGGCCAGATTTCGCCGGAATTCGGAGGATTAATTAGTGTCAGCACCCCGTCAAACGTGGTCCGTCCACGAGCCCGGCGGTTCGCGAATGCGTACGACTCGCTTCGTTTGAGTTCACCGAGGAGGTTATCGGCGAAACCAGGGGTAAAAGTCATCTAATCGAGCGAGCAAAGAATCACGTTCCACTCATCCGCCGCTTTTCGTCATTGGCTCGTTACGATAATCATCGTTTCCTCTCTTTCCGTTCGTTGGACGACGCTCTTCTCCGGACGGCCGCTGATAAACGAGACCGGTATAAATACCCGAACTTTGAAGTTTCATCCCCTGTCGAGGCAGTACGGTCCGCGGCGGTTCGTTAACCATAAAGTGCGATCGTAAAACCGCGCCGCGATCTGGACCGCGTTTTCCATTCGTCATTCGAGAGATCGTCCGGCAACCCTTTTACCGTCACCAGAAACGGAATCCGACGCAGAAAGGTCGAGTCGCATTAGAGGTACGTTCTCGCGTCCTTTAACCCTTCCTAAGGGGCGGTTATGGTACGGTGCGATCCCAAAAGTGACCACAGTGATCTAAGACGTCGATGTGAATTTCGAGACGAGTTTCCGTGTCGCCATTGTCCCCTTTCGGGAGAACCAGGCACGGAGCGCTCTTTGCCCCGGAAACGTTCTGTGACGTTTCAAGTGACGTCAGAGAGAAAGAGAGAGGGAGAGATGATAGATGCAACTTTATCTTAATCTGTTAACCGAACGATTTTTCACAGAATTGTTCGCGAAGATCGATTCATGTAAGATTCGTTAGTCACGAGTTGGAGCGCACGATTATTTTCAAGAATAGAATCTCGTTGTAAATAAATAAATAATTTCATAGTAGAACGAACAAGCATTTGTGCATCTAGAAGACATATACATCTTGCTCCCTCTCCCCCTTTCTCTCTGCGAAACGTCTCGAGGGTAATCTCTGCTTATGCCTGATCTTTGTGCAAATCTCCACCGCCATACATAATTCTATCGGAAGCAAACCCGAAGAAAACTGTCCTTCATCAGCTACAAGATTCCTGTCAGAGTCAGGCAAAAAGTAATCCGATCAACGATCGACGAATATAATTTTGTTATAAACGATTACAGATTAGTTATAGCAACCACCGAGATTGCTTTTTGCCCAACTCTGACGAATAAAAGTAGATCCGCGGTTCACCGATTAGATCGTCCTTAGATCTCTTTGGAAGCCCCGTGAATCAAGGTTTAACGAAATCTTCCTCTGCTTTCAGGAGCTAAGCGTCCCGCAAAAGAACTACACGAAGGTGCCATCGGCGCCCATATCCTCGACGATCAACTCGGCGATCAGCCTAGATTGCTCGTCGAACACCACCCTCGCGACAACCGCGAGCCCGTTCAATAGCCAGACCGCTTTGATAGTGGACAGGAAGAGTCCCCCCGCAGGGAACACCCCGACAACCCCTACCAACCACTATTATGAACAAAACCTGAGGAATACCCATCAGAAGGCCCTCCACGGGTCTCGCATCTACGACCCCCTCGACAAGGACCTCGACCACGGTTACAAGCAACTGCAGCCGCTTTTGACCGGCGAACAAACCCCCTACACGGTAGTCAAAGGGTCAACCATGAGCGCCCAGGATGTCAAGTCGCCGAAGGAACCGATCAGCCGTGAGAAGCTGCACGATGAGTTTCAAAGGGAGCCGGCGCCGACCGTGCGAGTTGCCACACAGGTAAATTTATCGCGCTTTTGTCAGCTCGGAGATCCGCAGTCTCTAATTGCCCGCGGTTAACAGTCGGTCCAAACGGTTCTCCGTCGTCCAAACAATGAGCAGAAAACCTGCCGAAGCGTTTCGTAATTAGTCGAGAAGCGTCTCTGCGACGTTCTCGCGGCGCTAGGTCGGAAATCGCGACAGCAATGCTTCCAAGCAAAGTGCAAGGCCTCGGGGTCACCGATATTGTTGAAACTTTGTACGCTTCGAAAGATTTCGTTCTCCTGCTTAGGAATGTACAGGGTGTTCCTGATCGAAATCGACGAATTTTGCCAACATGTTCGGGAGATCGTTCCGAGGAAAATGTGGGACACAGGGTGTCCCAAAATTATGTTATTTCCGGGATTCCTCAAGTCATTTGAAGTAACTTTTTCCTTAGCGAGAATGCAATCCGCGGCTTCGTTCACGAGCTATCGACGAAAAACTGTAGCCAATGAGAGGCAAGCTCGCCTGGTGCACGCCGACCGCTCGTTGGCTCGGCCGCCTAAGCGCCAGGCGAGCTTGCCTCTCATTGGTCAGTGTTTTTCGTCGATAACTCGCAAACGAAGCCGCGAATTGCATTTTCGCTAAGGAAAAAGTTACTTCAAGTGACCTCAGGAATCCCTCATTTTCCGGAAGTAACATAATTTTGGGACAGTCTGTACATATACCATAGGTCGATTCGTTTTCGAAGTCGCATTTGAAACAACCCTCAATGTTTCGGAATTGGAGCGTTGCGTTATCGAAAGCTAGCCACGATTTCCCATTGAATGACAACTCTCGGTGACGATTTCAACGAGCCAATATTTTCTCTGACTCGTCATAAATGAAACATAGACGCTGCCGGGAGCGAAAAAGAGTACTCGATCGTGGAACTACTTCACAATTCGCGGAAATCTCGGCGCTTTATTGCCAGCACGAGCGCGCGTTCGCGTCGATCGGATAGATCCTTGATAAACGACGATCGTACGCGGCGCTATGAATCGAAAAACGTGCCGCGCCGCGATTTTTATACTGCGAAACTTTCTACCGCGCGGTCGCGGTTACGTTTTCCGCCGCTACCGTTTCTCCTCGCGTACCGGCTTCAAGGATACGCCGCGGCAACCTTGATCCATTTGTTGGTTCACCTCGGCTCGGTAGCGGCGGCTCGAACTTGACGCGAGACGGATGGCACGGGGAAACGAGGAAACTTTTCGATCGCGGCTCAATGCCCCTCGCGGTCGGAGCGTCTTGGAATTCGATTCTCCCGTTCGTGACTTCCGGTGTCCCTGGCGAACGCTGCCGGCTCCACCCCGAAGGACCGACCGTTCCGCGAATGTTCGTCCGGTTCGATCCCAAGAAAAAGTGTCGTTTACTTCGGCTCGCGCCGTTGAATAATAACGACAACGCTCCTTATTATTGGTTTCAATTTGTTTCCTCCGTACGACCGACTTGCTTTTATTGCTCTTTATTGATTGCGTTTATCTGTACTTTAATTGGTCTTTCCTCTTTTCTACGTACTCCGCTTATCTGGTACTTCGTTTATCTTTATTTTTTTGTTTACCGGATTCTCGGTGCGCTATTAATTATGGAACGATGGTGCGCGGTCATGTTATTTGCGCGGTGGTTGCCGACGATCGATCCGTAGTCGCGCTTCAAAACACTTAGAAACGAAGTGCTTATCAACATTAAGCATTGTAAACAATCTGTTTAGATTCTCTTCTATTTTGCATTCGCGGCAAATAATTCGGTGGGATGCCGCTGCCGTAAATGGACGGAAAATTTTATGCACTCGTGGAAAAATTTAATAGTCGCAGCTTTATTCTACGCTGTCACGCTCGGGTCAAAGTGTCCCATTTTTCTTACGATAAGGTGATATCGTCGCGAGAAGAGTGAAATTAATAATTAATTCAATACACATTGGAAGTAGTGAGACATCTAGTTCTAGTAAACGAAACGATGTTCTAGAATGCTCGAATTTGATCCTGAATATTTNTGACGCGAGACGGATGGCACGGGGAAACGAGGAAACTTTTCGATCGCGGCTCAATGCCCCTCGCGGTCGGAGCGTCTTGGAATTCGATTCTCCCGTTCGTGACTTCCGGTGTCCCTGGCGAACGCTGCCAGCTCCACCCCGAAGGACCGACCGTTCCGCGAATGTTCGTCCGGTTCGATCCCAAGAAAAAGTGTCGTTTACTTCGGCTCGCGCCGTTGAATAATAACGACAACGCTCCTTATTATTGGTTTCAATTTGTTTCCTCCGTACGACCGACTTGCTTTTATTGCTCTTTATTGATTGCGTTTATCTGTACTTTAATTGGTCTTTCCTCTTTTCTACGTACTCCGCTTATCTGGTACTTCGTTTATCTTTATTTTTTTGTTTACCGGATTCTCGGTGCGCTATTAATTATGGAACGATGGTGCGCGGTCATGTTATTTGCGCGGTGGTTGCCGACGATCGATCCGTAGTCGCGCTTCAAAACACTTAGAAACGAAGTGCTTATCAACATTAAGCATTGTAAACAATCTGTTTAGATTCTCTTCTATTTTGCATTCGCGGCAAATAATTCGGTGGGATGCCGCTGCCGTAAATGGACGGAAAATTTTATGCACTCGTGGAAAAATTTAATAGTCGCAGCTTTATTCTACGCTGTCACGCTCGGGTCAAAGTGTCCCATTTTTCTTACGATAAGGTGATATCGTCGCGAGAAGAGTGAAATTAATAATTAATTCAATACACATTGGAAGTAGTGAGACATCTAGTTCTAGTAAACGAAACGATGTTCTAGAATGCTCGAATTTGATCCTGAATATTTTTAGGTCTCGATCCGTGTTGCTAATTTTTGAGTAATAGTTGTTTGAAAACTGAACTGGATCTCAGTGATAATATCTTAAGATAATATCTTCCAAGATAATTTTTGTAATAACAAATCTTACGTATAAAGAGTTGTTGAAAGTCTAACTGTTGTATGGAGTCACAAGACTCGATTTTTAAAATGAAAATACCATAAATCGGGAAAGTTAATTTAAATTTACAGTTAATATGGCTTCGAGTGTAAAGGGTTAATATAGTAGAAAAATTAAAAGATCCGTTAAAACGATTAACGAACGAAAGAACTTGCTATTTAGTTTCTATTCGTTGCAATCGATGCGAACAATTTTTATTTTGCGTAAACATCCGCAATAATAATATAATAATATAATAGTATAATTATTTGCAAGAAACCGAGCTTTCCCGACTCTAAAGTGTTGAATAATATCCGCGGAAAATCGTGAAATTCGGGGGTCAGGCGACACGTTAAAGCGACACACGAAAATTTTTCGCAAACGAACGCATAAATACTCGTTTGAGCAATCGCTGTCGGCGCGGTATGCTCGGCACCGACGAAGACACCCGAGGAGTTCGGTTTTTCCGTGGCCGGATGGATCGAATTGGATCGGACGGGATCGAAGCTAGATCGCGAACGAATCGAATCGAATCGAATCGAATGGTCGCGCATGCCGCGCGTATTTCCCCCGCCCCCCTCGATCGCTGCTAAACTCGAGAGGATCGTGATCTTCGACGTTTACGACATCCACGCGTTGCGTACAGATGCACTTTGTATTGCGCAAATCGACGTACACGAATAAACATCGCGAGCAACGGCGAGGCCCGACGTCGCGCGTCGACCGCGTTATGAAATGACGACGAGACCATTATTCCGCCTCGTTTCTTTTCTTCTTCTTCTTTTTTTCGAGCGGAGATCCGATCTCGATCGGCCCGCTTTCCCTCTCGTCAAGATTTTTCGGCGAGATCGCGGGCCCTTTCGCGCGCGGCTTTGTCTCCGATCTGCGCGCGGGAAGCCTCGAAAGTGGCACAAAACGGTAGAAACGCGATCTACATTCGTAACAATCTGAGCAATCCGAGTGACAAATCCGTTTCGGCCGGAACACGATTACTTCGCAGGCTTCCATCATATTTTCTGTTGTCGCAGAAACGAATGTTCACAGTAATGTCTGCCTAACTGACGCTCGGATTGTGCACAAAAAAGGACAGTTTTTGGAAGAGGAGATACGATTATTCGAGTCTCGCGGCTTATTTTTACAATTGTTGACAATTCGCGACTATAGAAACGAACCGAAAGACACGAATAATCGTATCCCCCCTTCCCAAATCGTCCATTTTTGTGGACAATCTAAGCGTTAATTGGAGAGACATTACTAAATTTCTAGTAATAACTTATTCTATATAGATGTTGTTCTGTCCTTTCGCGAATTGGAATAAATTCTAATCTCTTGTCGGCAATATTTTAAGCGTTCGAGAGTAAACTTAGACGCACGATAAGCATCAATTTTTGTTTCCCTTCTAAGAAATTATTGCAATCCAAAAATTTTTAATCGAAGAAAATGGTATGTCAAGGGGTTAAATAAATTTTAAAAGCTTATAAATAAATAAATAAATGTAGCTTATAATAATAGCTTAAATAAAAGGGGTTAAATATATTTTAAAAGCTTATAAATAAATAAATAAATAAATATAGCTTATAATAACAGCTTAAATAATATAAATTATAAATAATATAATATAAATAATATGAATTAATAGCTTGAATAAAAGGGGTTAAATATATTTTAAAAGTTTATAAATAAATAAATAAATAAATATAGCTTATAATAATAGCTTAAATAATATAAATTAATAGCTTGAATAAAAGGGGTTAAATATATTTTAAAAGCTTTCTAGATCAATTCGGAACGTTAGAACGTAGACACCACCGGTTCAATTTCGCGAGAAAAATTTCGATCGTTCGAATCTCCGACGACCGAATCGTAGACCGGGAGAGGATGGAACGAAAACGATGTTTGCGCTTACGATGACGCGGTTGCATAGATTGAGCACGTTCAAGTGACGCTGCTTTGGAATCTAACCCTTACGTTGACTTTACAAGTACGATTATTCGATTAATTGGGTTAATGCTGATTTTTATCGGATTGGCGAATAAAATTCAGCTTTGTCTTGCTGC